TAGAAAGTGCATAACTTGTTGGGCATGTAATCTCTCCATAAAATCTGTTGTGGCAAGCATTCTGGCAGTCAGTGATCTTTGGATATGTCTTTATGTGTGTTGTGCAATAGAAACTCATTTTTAGTCATTCATGTTTGTCTCAATGACTGGTCAGAGCAGGTGACTAGTCTGATATGGCTGTCTGAGGAAAAGTGCCATTTCACAAAGACAATTCAGAGTCTGGGGACCCTGTTAACATATCACCACTTTCAGGCTTTGCAAAACCTCCTGAAGTGATGCATACAGATCTTTCCAGTCATCTTCACTCAGAGGAATGCAATGATCTTATAAACAAACTCCAGAAGTGTCACCAGGAGGTATGTTCCTTCCATGTTGCATCACTTTGGTGTTGATAAGGATGTGCGTATTGGTCGGCAGGGCAGACATTAAAATGCAAGTAGGGTTTGAATTAAACTCCCTTGCTCATGACATGTCATCACATTAGCTGCAATTGATTGCTGGTGATGGGTAGTAGTGACAGGTAGTTAAGATATTATTACATGACATTAAAGGGAGCATACTACCTTTTCACCTATTGTTGAATCAGACAGGTGCAATATGATCAGTAATACTGCTAACACACTAATGTTTCAAGTGTTTGTGTGATGGTGCTAGGAAAGCTGGGAATGCTCTTGAGATGACATGAAACATTTTACCATGGCTTTGATTCATCGTCTATTGCATCTACTACCGCCCTTGCCAGCTGGGGCCCATCACAAAGGTTTTTTTTTTATTTGGCACCGGTAGAGGTGTGCATGGTAGTTGTAGCGATAGTGGTCGCGACTGCTGGAAAGAATTGTTCTGTTAGAAAGCTTGGATAGTAATTTGGACAAGAAAATGATAAAAATTGAAGTCCTGATTATGGGCTTATGCTGCTACAGTGGCACTACCCAATGTTTTTATTAGATGTAACTGGTCCTGAGGTTTCTCTAGATATAGTTTTTGAAGTGTGCCCCCAAAGGTGGAACATCCCTTCAAGTCTTACATGGCAAGGGGAACATATAAAACAGAAAGCATTATGGTGTTGCATGTTTTTCTCAAACAAGGTGTTCACCCGAGTTGTTTTGCCAGGATTATTCACTGTAGGGTCCAGGGACGTCTTGCATATTTGACACATGATCAAATAGAGAATTTGACTGATATAGCACGGCATGGAACATTGCAGTGAAAGTGTGCACTGGTATGCTGTATCGCAATCAATTTTTTCAGCAATTCTTTGGCAAGTGGATTGGCGCTTGCAACGAGATTGATGTTCAAGTACGGCGCTGTCTGAAACTCGAGGTAAGACTGTGCTTCATGACCCTTATTCGTAATCATCTCCTACCTTCTGTAACTTTGACATTGCGCTGACTGATTTGTACACAACATGAACATTTAATGGCAGGAACATTTAATTCCTCAACGCGGAATGATTGGGCGAAAGTGCTGCGCACATTAAAGACAATTCCCCACGCACGCTGATGTTTCGAAATGCCGCACGAAATCCATGGGTTTCATTGGGGTCTGGTCTTCGACGTGGTACCGTGGTGTCTTGGGTGTTTTTGGCCGTCTCAAGCCCAACTATGGGTTTGATTCAAGATGAATTTATTATTGGCCCACGAATCACGTCATTTTTTGTGAGTGGCGAGAACATTTTATTGTTGAAAATTAAACGTGAATCATAAATCAAACCATTCCTAAATGAGTTAAGCAGAGTGGATCAAAGTCAAACTGAAAGAAAAACAAATCGATTCAAGATCGATGTGTAAATCCCTACAAATTACATTCCTGTATGAATTAGACTGTTTGAGATACACATGTTCGATCAGGCCCAGGCAACACAGCTAAAAGGTATTGACAGTTCTATAGGCAGGTAAATTGGATGGCAGGTGATCTATCCGTGGATGATCAATGAAACAATTCGCTCGGGCACCAGCCGCGTGCGGCTCTGTATTCAGACAGCCGAACAACCACAGATCCGAGTTGAGTACCCGACCCCGGTCGTAATCAAGCACTCCGCCGCGTAAGTGGCGACACCTCTTGGTTGCGACTGCTAACAGTCAACTTTTATACATATCAGCAGGGTTCCGTCTAATTTACTGGGCCAGCTGCGGGCCTCTGGCTGTTTCGTGAACTCTCGGACCCTTTAACGAGGGCCTATCCGGTATGTGGGGCCTGCTTGAGGGTTCACAGACATTGTGACCAGCCCAAACGCACTGGCTGGTTGAAATGTGTCTGAGGTGTGATGTGGAACGCTTGACAATACTGAAGTCGGCTTCGGATGTACGAAAATAAATTTTGACCGTATTGTGCAGACAAGTGCAAAGCCGTGTGAAGAGAGCAGATACGCGAATTGACGTCGTTCGCCCTTTTTGACGGTCAACGGAAGGAGATGCCGCAAATTAACACTGGTCAAATCATAAGCTATGTACTAGGACTGGCACTGGTCCGTCTTACATGCTGGCACTTGTTACGTGCCTTGCGGGTTGTACCCACACTGCAAAAGGTGGCCAGACCATCGGTGCCCTGACGAGCTACTTTAGTCTGGTCAGCATTAGAAATATGGAGCAAGATTTTTCAATTACCGATAAATAACTCTGGGCGTACGAGATTGCAGCGTTAGCATGCGTATTCGGAATCACTGATGGGGCCTCTCATG